AGATATTTCTCCATATCAGTACGATGAACATTCGTATGTTTGATTTTTTCTGCGAAATGTTGTTTGATTATTTGATGGAATTTTCTTTGTAAATCAAATATTTACACATTATCTTTATTGACAATTTCTTTTGAATGGAATTATGTATTAAGAAATAAAAGCTTACATATTCTTTTCAGAGTTATATATATTCAGTGATCTTATATAAATGTTCCTAAGATATGGTTGTACTCAAGTAATAGATTTATAAGCAAAGTAACTATAAAAAAATAAAATTATCCAAAGAGATTAATCATCACATTCCTACCCCATTGCTTTTTCTTATACAGTTCCTGAAATAGAAACCATTGATATTTGTTCCTAATATTTTTTTTCTGAGATATAGCAAAGATAAAACAAAACAGATAATAAATATTTACTTAGAAGAACATGCATTGTGTTATTGCCACCACCTATTTTCAAAATAATTCTGAGCTTTGGGTCAGACTCCCAAGCTCTTCAGTCTAAGTTCGGGTCAAATGAAGTTTAGCATTTAGAAATATTACCAGTAACCATATTGGAAAACCGAGGAAACCTCTGAATTATTGCTTTAGAGATCAAAATCAGAGTATGATTATTTTAGTGAAGAGGCAGATAGTTTTCAATGTTAAACTTGAGTAGTTGGGATAATAATTTCTATTGGTAAATGAATGATAAAAGAAGAGAAAAGTCATTTAAATAACTTTGCTAAAGGTATAATCCTAATAGGAATTTGCATAAACATTATATATAATTTAGTGAGGATCATCATTGTCTTTATTATTAGTAGCAGGTATAGTAATGTTAGTAGTACTGTCCTTTTGCAACTTCTGTTACCATTATCAGTGTAATTAATATATCAGTATCTTTGTCATTAACCCACTGTTGCTGGGTATGGCCTGTATGTACATACCATGTTGACTGCAAGTTTAGTTTGTTGATTGTCTCTACACATAGATGGTTCCACAAGTGCTTGGTCACTAAGGAGTCGGTTACTAGTATTAGCCATCCTACCTGTTTACCCATTTCCTTAATTTTGGAAATATTCTCTTTTATCTTGTATTGCTATTAGTAATGCTAATAATATTATGGTGACAACAATGGGCTATAATAACCATAACTACAGCATGGATGTTAATAAGGGGAAAAAAAAATCCAGGAGAGAGGAAATGAGCTGAGGTCATGAGGTGTACCAATGGAGTCCTTGGTGGCTCAACGCTTGTGGAGTAATCTAGGTGTAAACATATCATAAAAGAAAACTCATGTGAGCTTTATATGTTTGTGGTGACTGTAGGTTAGTACTGAATTGTTTGATGTTATCTTTATGTCCAGTTTCATTTTACTTGCAATTTTTTTTTTTTTTTTTTTTTTTTTTTTTTTTTTTTTCATGTATTAATTGATATGTTTCAGTGGTATAGTAATTATTTTTTATTATACAGGTAATAAGATGCTTGGGTACTAACCTAGTATTCAGAAGTTCGAGGTTCTCTAGTGCTGCAAGTGAATATTCCGTATTTAGAGTCTATAGCTCAAAGCTGTGTATCATTTAACATGAGCACAATTTAATTTTATTATAAAGATGATTAATAGTAGTAGTATTGCTAGTATTCTTATTACTATCACTATTATCATTATATAAATATGTATTTTTATTATTATCATTAATATTACTCCTTTTAAAATTACAATCTCTTGCTCGCTAATCATTAACTCAGTTTTAGCCCAATGGTGATGGGCATGGCATGTACATACATGTCATGCGCACAGTGACATACATGTCATGTGCACAGTGAGTTAATTAATTGTTTTTACACATAGATGGGTATACTTGTACTAAGTCATCAATGAGCCAATTACGAGTACTGCCTGTCTCGCCCGTTTACCCATTTCCTTGGTTTACAAAAATATTTTTTTTATCTTATTTTGCTGTTACTAATGATTATAACATTATAGTAATTAAAATTTCTATAATAAAAATAACACCATCGATATTCATAACATTAGAAAAAAATACATTTTTTCCGCCAATTCAAGGAAAGGGGAAATTAGGTAAGGTCACAAGGTCTACTAATTAACTCCTCTGTGGCTAAGCACTAGCAGAGCCATCTATGTGCAGAGACATTTCACAAATATGTAAAAAATGAGCAGAGCACTTTCCCCATTTTTTATTCATTTTCTCCGGCAGCATGTGGTTAACCTTTTCGCCACAATACTTTTACCTCAGCAGCAAGGGAATATCCCCTTTGATGCTGGATAGAAATATCATTATTAGCATGATGTGTTTAAAGTGTACCCAGTGTTAAATGGATATATATTTATTTATACTACAGCTCTTTCCTAATCTTAACTTTTTTGGTGGGTAGTAAATATGCTGTCATACATAAAAATGGAAATTTAATCCATGATCACGTGGTAGAGAAATTATAACTTTTGACTTACCCCTATTTCTTATCAGTGAAATTGCTTTGCTGTTATGCAATACGTACGGCTAGTTTATGTTGACTATCAACTTACCTATACTCCACCTGAGGATAAGTTAAGAGTGTAAGGATAATTGAAGTACAGCTAAATTGGTCAAATGTATTTCAATGTTATTGATCACTGACATTGCAAATTTTTTTCCTTGATAAGGAAAGAGTGGCTGGAGCAAACACTACTTTGTGGATTGGATTTATTTCTTAAAAGAAATTTAAGTCACATGCAAAAATATAGTAGTGAAACATTAAAGCTTTAACATTTTTTATGGGTTTCTTAAAAAGAATACCGAGACATATTCTCTGTGTAGATTACATAATACATGTATGTATGTTCATGTTCGTATGGCCGAGAAATGACTGTGAATTACGTACTGTGTACAAGATTTATTGATTCATTTAAGATAAAATATATAAAGCAAATTGTATACACACCAAATCTGTCTTAACCCATTGCCACTGGGGAAAATGAACAAAAAATGAGGGAAATGCAGTACTCATTTTTTTATTTTTTTGTGTAATATCTCTGTCCATAGATGGCTCTGCTAGTCCTGATTTCACCTTTCCTTGAATTGGCAGGAAAAAACGTATTTTTACTAGTGCAATAAATATAGATGGCGTTATTTTTAACAGCAAATTAGGATAACGTTAAATATTTTCGTAAATCGATGAAAAGGGTGAACGGGCGAGACATGCAGTTCTCGTAATTGGCTCATTGAATACCTAGTACAAGTGTAGCCTTCTATGTGTAAATATATATATATATATAACATATATAATATATATATATATATATATATATATATATATATATATATATATATATATATATATAAATATTCCATGGGTTACATGGGAACAAATATTGAAGAAACAACTAATATTTTTGTGTAACGTGAAAAATATGTAATAGAATTTGGGAAAATTTCCTGTAATCCTTTTTCTAAAGCAAAAGAGATATCAAAATAGATATCTTGTAACATAAATATAAAGTAAAAGGTATGAAATTTATCTGTTGCATGAGACTCAAGCATATTAGTAATTATTTTGGTAATATACAAATTTAGTAGATTTTGTCTGAGACTCAGGTTAAAGAAATACAGGTAAATTCCAGCAACAGAGGCCACAGAGTAAAGGAAATGTGCAAATGATCATGTAACATTCAGCAAAAGTGGGAGAAATCTGGATTTTTTTTTTTTTTTTTTTTTATTTATTCAGACAGCCTTTGTACCCCAGGTAAGAAAACCTCTTGAAATCTCGAAACGTGAGAACCAAGACAAAAACAACCACCAACATGAATTTATTAAGTAGCACAAGACCCCTAAGGAAAAGAAAACGACACCCTAATGGCCGAATTTTTTTAAAATTATCTTTTTAAGTCCACCAACATGAATTATTAAGTTGCATAAGACCCCCCCCCCCCACCAAGGAAAATAAAACGACGCCCTAATTGCCCGAAATGTTTTTATTATAATTGTGAAGGAAGTGAGCGCCTCCTCCTCCTCGCATGGCTGTTCCGGCGAGCGAACACCCAGCGCCGAGACAGGTATTCGGGCCTTGTATCGTTATGAATATTAACTATTGTCGTGCGTGTATTTGCTGTATTTTTAGGTCTTTTTATTATGTTTATCTTCATTTTTTGCTTTATAAATTTGTGGAGGTTATTATATGTAACATGATTTGCGAGATCTGTTAGCTGCTTCGTGTTCCTCGGAAATAAAGAGTAGCGATTATTGGCAATTAGTTAAACTTGGATAAAATCTTAGCTCGGGTTCCCCCATACATCTACGGAGTGCCAGAGGAGGGATTTTAGAACACTTAAAACCAAATCGGGTCGAAACAGAATACCCTCTTTTCCTTAACAAAAAAAAAAAAAAAAAAAAAAAAACGCCCCCCCCCCGTAACAGAATACCCTCTTTTCCTCATAAAAATATCCCCTCCCCCTCAAACAGAATACCCTCTTTTCCTTTAAAAAATACCCCCTCCCCGAAATCAGAATACCCATTTCCTAAGAAAAAAAAAAAAAAAAAAAAAACCTCGCCCCCCATCGGAGAGCGTGCCTCGGAAGTTGCACGTTTTTGGGATGTACGATAATCTCCCCTTTTTTCTCGAGTCTCCGCCGCCCCGCCGACTCCGCTCCGCCGCCGAGACAGACACCGAATCTTGGAATTACAAAAAAAGACGTTTCTCGCCATCACACGCCGGTAAGTATCCTGGGTGATCACTTGACCCTCCCTGGTTGACGGGCGGAAGGGCGTGGGCTGCGTAAATGGCCAATGGAGCGGCGTGCGAGGGGGGAGGCCCGGGGAACGGCCAATGGCGCTTTGTTTACGGCCCCGCGCGCTGTGAGTGGCCGCTTCTGACCAATCTGTAGGCGCCGTTATTTCGTCCAATCTCAGGTAACTTTTCATGTTTGGCGCCAATAATTATCTGCCAATCTTCACTCGGCGGCTATTAGAGGGAGGGATGGGCGGCCCCGGGTGGATTGGGCGGGCGGGCGGGCGTGAGATGGGCGGGATGGACGGCGCAAAAAGGCAAAGGGGGAAACGACGGGAGGAAAAGGCGAGGAAGGGAAATGGGCCGTCTTTGTGGGATATGTTCTCTCTCCCCCTCCCGTGTCCTAAAATTAGTCCTTGTGGTGCCATGCCTCCTGGGCTGGACACCTACCCCCCCCTGAGGACACGCTGGAGGCTCCCTGGCACTCTCAAGGGGCTTGCGAGGATGATATAGGCCTATGTCAAGGACCCCACGTTCGAAAAGGCCAATTAACGCAGTCGGGCGAGATGGCTGCATCCTGTTGCAAGGAAATAGTTGCTCATCCTGCCAAGACAAAGGCAGGGTGTTCAAGCAAGAAATATTTACGGTATCTGATGCCTCGTTTGTCTTTCAGCACATACTTTAGGTAAATATGAACAAGGAGATGGGGTTATGCAATGCGTACGGCTAGTTTGGCATTGATTTTGAGTTGGAATTGGAGTGAAAACAGGGTTCTTAATGAGTGCAGAGTTTTAAGATGTGCCAAAGGAATGAACTCTCTTTGTGTTTATGTAATTTCTACAATTAATTTAATTTAAGATTTTATTGAAGTTCTTGTGAAGCCAGTAAAAAAAAAAGATCAGGTGAACATTGCATATGTGCTAGCAACTGGAAAACTGTAATTTCTAGAACTTGCACTGAAAATATGAATAAATTTCTTACTACTAAAAATGGTTATTACTAAAGTTTTGATATAGCTTTCTTTACAAAGTATCTAGATAAATTTCATGTAAGTTATGTTAATTTTGACTAGTATGAAATATTTCATATAGTTTAACAAGGTATACAGATTAATTACTAAGGGATTTCAGAATCATGTATTAGTTCATGTACGATCCATCATTTCGTAATTTGCTTTTGTGATTTTTCCTATTTGTATTATAGGCTTACTTGTTGCCTACTCATTGATTTACTAAAACTGCCATCAGATATTTTAAGAAAATGTTTAAGGTTCATATGTGTAGATATACTTAAGTGTTTGTAATTATATCTATATATCTACATCTATATCACTATGTATCTACATCAGTACACAGACACACATGCTCTCTCTGTCTCTCTCTCTCTCTCTCTCTCTCTCTCTCTCTCTCTCTCTCTCTCTCTCTCTCTCTCTCTCTCTCTCTCTCTCTCTCTCTCTCTCTCTCTCTCTCTCTCTCTCTCTCTCTCTCTATCACATTGCAATATGTATTATTTTTTATATATATTCAGTAATATATATATATATATATATATATATATATATATATATATATATATAATATATATATATATATATCTATATATATATATATTATATATATATATATATAATATATATATATATATAATATATATATATAATATATATATATATATATATATATATATATATATATATATATTATATATATATATATTATATATATATATATAATATATATATATATATATATATATAGATATATATATATATATATATATATATACTGAATATGTGTGTGTGTGTGTGTGTATTTATACATATATTATAAATAATATATATATTCCATCTTTCATTTATATACCTCAGTACATCTGACTTTAGTTTCAAATTTCCATCAAGTGCCCATGGGGAGTACATGTTAAACCTCACTATTATTGCTCATGTATGAGTAGATAGGTAACGTTTATGGAGCTAGTTAGATCCTAGTTGCACACTCCTTTTACTGCGTTGTGTGGTATGGTTGGTTTAGTACCGGCCTCTGGTTCATACCCAGGGGACTTAGGTCTGAGTCATGATCAGGGAGAGTTGTTATATATCTATATCAGTGTGGCATTGCATTATTCCATCTTTCATATATATATGTCAGTAAATCTGGTTTCAAATTTCTAAATCACTTTCTACCGAGTGCCCAAGGGGAGTGTGTGTAATACCGTTGCTATCATTACTTCTGTATGAGTAGATAGGTAAAGTCTATGGAGCTAGTTAGATCCTAGTTGCACACTTCTCTTAGTGGGTTGCATGGCATGGTTGGTCTAGTACTGGCCCTTCAGTCTCATACCCGGAGTTACCTAGGTTCAAGGCTTGGTCAGGGAAGATTGTTATATATCAATATCAATGCAGCATTTCATTATTCCATCATTCATATATATACACCTCGGTACGTCCGACTTTTGTCTTGAATATCTTCATCAATTTCCACCAAGTGCTCACAGGGAGTGTGTAAAAGCCTTGCTAATATTACTCATGTATGAGTAGATAGGTAATGTCTATGGATCTAGTTAGATCCTAGTTGCATACTCCTTTTAGTGGGTCTCGTGGTATGGTTTGGTTTTGTACTGGTCAGGGGGATGTTTTGTCTATATCATTGCGGCATTGCATTAT